GTTCGGTGGATTAGATCATCCACCCCACAAAAAATTAATCTAGCAGCTCCGCGCCTTGGTTCCCAAGCCGCCCCGCCACAACACCGTGAATTCCTTAGGGAGGTGCCAGCCTCATCTTGAACTTCCCATGCTCCTGTTGGGGGCTAAGAACATGCTTATCTCCCTGAGCATGGCCTTCATAAGTCCATTCTATCACAACTATATGGTGAAAGAATAGATCTGAGGCTGAAGGGAGTCCCTGTTCTGAGGAAACACAGTAGCCCAAATTACAGATAGTCCTTGACTTACAACCATTTGTTTAGCGACCATTCAAAGTTACAACTGCACTGAAAAAAGTGACTTATGACCGGTCCTTGCACATACAACTATCACAGCTTCCCTGCAGTCATGTGATCAAAATTCAGGTGTTTGGCAACCAGCATGTATTTATGATGGCTGCAGCATCCTGGGGTCACATGATTGCCATTTGTGACCTTTCCAGCTGGCTTCTGACAAGCAAAATCAATGGGGAACCACGTGATTCACTTAATGAATGCAGTGATTCACTTAACGACCAACACAAAAAATGTTGAAAAATTGGGTGCGGTCATATGATGCTTTGCTTAACAACCGCACTGCTTAACAACAAATTTTCTGGTACCTATTGTCATAAGTCAAGGACCACCTGCATCCAAAGCAGGTAGATTTGATCAGTCAGGGAGAGTGTTTCCCTTCCCACTCTCAGTGTCCTACAGGGAAGTTGCTGTAGGGAAGGATGCAAAGTTTTCTGGGCACAGATGGGGGTGAGCGGGAGGCTGTAGGGTACAAAGTATCCTTGGTTGTGACGTGAAGTATTAGACTGCTTATTCTATGAGCTAGAAATAAAGGAGATATGAAAGTTACAATGAGGAGAGGAAAAGCCACCTGACTTGGCTCTGAGTGCATCTTTAGGAAATCTATAATTGTCCCAGATTCTTGTGATCAGTCTGGACTCTTACTCTATTTTGTTCCTCCCAGAAAGGCCTCCTTTATGGCAAAAGCTCTTTATTAAAACTTCATAATTCCTCTCAGCCGGCAAAAGTTTTCCAGACAAAAATATGTAAGGAAACAGGTTGCCTGCAAACTCCAGCACAGACTGTAAAAGCATTGCCTCCAGAGTAAAATCTGAGGCATCATTTTTAATAACAAAGGGAAGGAGGGATTTGGGTGGCAGAAAATGGATTGGGAGGAAGCCTTGCTGAGTATCAGAATCTCACTTAAAGGGAGTTTATCAACTGCATGAGTGGTATAGCTAAAACAGTAAAATATGGAACAAACTTACAGTAGAAGTTAGCAAGCCCAGGAAGCCCTGCAAGTTTATGAAAGTGAAGGTAGTGGTGGTCCCAAGACAAGAGGATCTATTTGCATACCTTCTAAGGAAATACAGTATCCAAAGCAGATCAATGAAACGAATATTTTTTTCAACTAAGCATTCAGGTTGGGTTAGCAGCGACTTTGAAGTCTGTGTGCAAAACTGTCATCTGGATTATCAGAACAAATTAACAGGTTAGCCAGATAAGTATTAGAAATGTGTCCAACAGGAACAGTATGATTTGTAAGTTGCGTGAAGACTGCAGGAAAATTGGCCAAGTTGAATTGCATTACAATATATTCAAACTTTCTGTAATAGGTGTCAAATGCTGTTAAATGTTCATGCCCCTCTTTCATGCAAATCAGGATGTAAAATCCCCAAAGTCAAGTTTGGTAAAAAAATGTGTGTTTCCTCCAGCTATTCTAAGAGTTCAGCAATAAGTGAAAGAAGGTAACGGTCAGAGTTCCAAAGTCTAAAATTATGAACCACATGAAGAGAGATTTCTTTTTTCATAAATAAAAAAAAAAAAGGGCAGAGCCCTAGCTGGCATAGATCAATGGTCAACAAAGTCCATTTATTTGCTTGTTTTACAATATCTGTAAATCACCCTAATCAGTTTCAATTCCAGACAGTGAAAAATAAAACAGGATAAAACAAATAACAATAGAATCTTCAAAAGTAATGATATCCATGCATCCCATTTACAAGTTGTCATCAATAAGTTCATTTAGGCACACCAACTGAGTCCCAGATATAAACGTTTTGCTGAAATCTTAGCTTTAGAAACAAGGTTAATGTTATAGTCACAAAACCATTGGGGGAGTAAATTCTGTGCTTTTTCCTTTCCCAAAATATTAGTGCAGTCAACATACCTGGCAGATAAAATGGGGTGGATGGAGTATAACTGATGGAGTGAATCAGATCTTGAAATCTGTGAGGCCAGCATGACTGAAAATCAAATATAATGCTTTTTTGGTCCCAGTGAATGCACAAATTGTGAATCTGAAGCTAAGCCATTGACAAGATAATAGGAAAATATATCAGGTTGTCAAATTAAGGTACAGAGGTTCTTGATAATGATAGATGGTAAGTAGGAATGGTGAAACTGAGCCAGACCATAAGAGCTGCCATAGATAGTTTCCATCCACACTGGTAGTTCATTATGCTGAGTAGGCAAGGCATACTACAGAAACAATAAAATTGCCCATGGTACCAGAATATATTGGAGACCATAATTGTATTTCATGGCCAGCTTGAGTCTTAAGAATAACACAAAGGGTCAAATGTTGATGGCTATTGTCAAAACCCTTGGCCCTTCATAATTTTTAGAAGTCCTCACCTCTGACAAACTTGCTTCCTGACAAGCCCAGATCTGGAGTAAGTATGGCATCTGCTTGCAAAGTACCTCTCTTCTCCATAACTATGGAACTTATTTGCTACCCCACAAAGGAGAGACTAAGCAGGACACTCCTGGGTAAAATGTCCCAACTCTTAACAATACAAGCACAACTCTTTTGCATGTCAGTACTGCTTTTTTTTTACAGAAAGTATCTTCCTGCTAGCTCCCAAGTGCACAGTTTTGCCATTAGAATATTCTGATAAACAAGGAGAGGAAGAAAGGAAAGAGGATGGTGAGGTTTTCTTTTCTCACTGTACATTTGCCATGATTCTTTGAGTCTTCTGTTTTCAAATTCAGAATTAGATTAAAGCAGACAGGGTCCCTGAGATTCCCTGCCCAGTGAACCCATCCCATTGCTCATCAGCTAGACCCTCTTTAAACTGGTCAGTTAAGCCCTTTATATTCCAACCCAAATCTTGACCTAATATGCACACATCAAGCATTTACCTTGTCACAGGCATCTGATTTTATGGTTGGCTGTCATCAGTTTGGCAGAATTATCAAAAGCACTCCTCAAACATGTCACAAAATTAGCATCATTGTCCATATCCAGACTATTTTAAATCAGAAGGGGTAGGAGGTAGCTCCTTTTCTACTGCCCTCCATCAGGAAACTTATTATGAATCTTATGAAGAACTGGTCTGTAGTAAACTCTCCAGGTTTTTGAGACGTGTACATCACACTGAGTGTGAAGGGTTATAATTTTGCCCACATTCCCATATTTGCCAGGCAAAAATGATAGATCAGCTGGAGAACTGTAGTTGTAGCAGCTGTTGCAGCAACAGTTGTTACGGCGATTGGATCCTGCACTGGGATTAGTGGTGTGTTGGGCTGTGGTAAATTCTGGTCCATTTGCAGAGCTAAATAATTAACTGTCTGAATGGGCTGATCTTTCTGGGTTGCCATTTGATACTGATACTGGAGCACAGCACTCAAACTTGATCCGTGGTAAATGGAATGGCAAAAGGGGTCAGTAGTTATGGTTTTGGTCTGGAAAATCTGAACTTGTCTTTCTTCCCGTGGATCAGGAATAAGGAGAAATATCAGGTCCATGTCCTTTGGTCCCTTGCAATAACCTTCCTTCTGGAACTTTGCAGTCTCAGAGGAATTTGTACTTGACTTAGAGATGCTTTATTACAGCAGCAAGCAACTACGGAAAGATGAAGATCCATTCTATCAAGCTAGGAACCTGATAGTATTTATATGCACGTGCCAAGATTCACATCCTCAGCTTCTTTCTCCTACTTTTTTTTTTTTTTTTGCAAAGGATTATTTGCAGACCTTTTCTCACACTGGCCCTCCACTTGGTCTTTGATGACAAAATGGATTGTTCTATTCCCAAGTTCCTTGTTTCCTGACTTTTACCTCCAACTTCACAAAAATTAATGTTCAATTACTGGTCAACATTCACCACAGTATAAGGGTTGAGATGTTCAGTTTTATTTAATACTGTTAATCCCATCAGATATATAATTTGATACTTCCTTCAGAAATGCAAGATTTCTGCCTAAAACCATGAAGTGAACTGTCTTAAACTTTTCCATTTTCTGCATTTTTTCCTGATGATGGTTTTTCCTTGCCAATGTAAGGCTGAATGAGCAAAGTAAGTATTCCCACCATATAAAGGAAGCCACATATGTAGAAAGAAAAGTCATATTTTTGTGTGAGATCATAAATCCATCCTAGAAAATAAAAACAAAGCACTTAATAGAGTATCATTAACAATCATCAAGAAGCATAGAACATTATTTTTTCTACTAATAGAGTATTACTCATTGACACAATTCTGCGTTTAATTTCTTTTTTCATCTATTGCAGGACTCTTTGAAAAGTCAGAGTGGGAGGGAGAAAGGGAGAGCTTGCAACCAGATCATCATTGTACATTACATTAATTTCCCTACTCCCTCAAATGAGTTCTTTCTCCATTGTTTTAAACCTGAAACATTAGCAGGATGCTCATTTGTTTATTCAAATTTATATTTTAAACACTTCATTTCTATTAAACTTCTGGATATCCATCTAGATCAGGAGATGGGCAACTTTGCTGTGACTGGGGTGGACTTTTGTTTATTGCCTCCATGGGCTGCAGGAGGCACAACACTGGCTCATCCAGTACATGCCCTTTTGAGGGTGATTGGGGTAAAGGGGCTCAGATGGGGTTTACTGTTATTTGCACAAAAGTCACCCTATATCATGCCACCAAAAATTAGTGTTTTGCCAATAAAAATTCTGCAACAATTGGGTCAAGGAGGCATATGTTGCACACAGTTTGCTGATCTAGTGATTCTACTTTCACTAAGCATAGGTGTATGGGATAAAAATATATGTATTCGTATTGTTTACTTCTCTGTTCAGTTTCATCACCTTTCTCTGCTCCTCCTTCATATTTATTAAAATCGCAGATTCCTAGTTGGAAGAAACCATTTCAGCCATGCAATTCAAGCCCCTGTTCAATAGAGGAACCCAAATTAAAGTATTCCCAACAGATGTCTAGCCTCTTCATGAACTCATCCAATAAGCTCACTGCCCCTCTGGGTAGGAGATTCCACTGTCAAAATGTTCTTAGTGTTAGGGTTCCCCCAAAAAAAAATTCAATAAGAATCTGCCTTCCCAAAACTTAAGACCATTACTCTCATGTCCTGCATTCTGAGATGACAAGTCTTGATTACATTATACTAATTATTATAAATAACAACAACAATGATATAATAGTTCCTAAAGGATAATAAATAGGCATTTCTATAAAGGAAAAGGTTAAAATCTGTCTCTCTTTGACATATTTTGCTGGTGTTTTGTACGAAATGAACAATACTGTATGTGCTGATTTTCAGGGCTATGCAAAACATTCAAATGAGGTTTTCATAATTGGTAGGCATGCAACCAAAGCACTTGCTATGTGTTTTCTTCCCAGAGAAGCAAAGTAATTGAGTATATACAAATATGCAGAGATAAGTCACTATGAAAGTCAAATAAAATACCACATTTACCTGCAAATGGTGGTCCCAATAGTGCTGATATCCCATTGGCGCAAATGATGATCCCATAGGCATTTGCAAGATGCTTAATCCCTACTAGATCTTCAGTTACAACAGGCATAAGTGAAAAATAGCCACTGGAAAATCCTATCAGGGCACAAGCCACTGCTAGGCTAGCAAACGTATGCATTAATGGCAAAATAAAAATGCAAGAGACCAGAGTAAAGTTAGCTGCCATGAAGACATTCCAAGCACTGATGCAAGGTGAATCAGAGATTAGGCCAAGGATGACCTTCCCCAAAATGTGAACAATTGCAATAATTGAGGTCAAAGGAAAGATGTCATTCTGTGCTGATAAGTTATACTGTTTCACTATTTCTGGGAGATGGATGAAAGGGATCACAAAAGTGCTATAGGCAAATAAAGCCCAAAATACAAAAGCTGCAAATGTTCTGTTGGTGAAGAGAGATGCAGTTCCAAAGTAACTAGAATACCAGGTCCTGAAGCCCTTCTGGCTTGTAACTGTCAGCTGGCCTACTGTCTTCAGAATACCAAGAGTATAGATTTCTTTTTGGTCTCTGATTCTGTCTTTATTCTCCAAGGCTGAAATTTTGCCAGTCTTTTCTTTTGTACCCTGTCCTCCCTTTGCCTCTTTTTCCCCTTCCCTTAAGACACAATTAGACGTCAATGTTTCGGCAGAGCAGGAGAGAACTTTTGCTGGATGATTGCTTTGACTGTTGTTTCTATCTCTGCTTTGCTCAGTAGCTTCCTTCTTGAAATGAATTGGTCTCAGAAGTGCTCCACAAACACACAGGTTCAGACAGACTGCCCCATGAATGAACACTGCATTCCTCCAGCCAAACTCCACACAAAGATATTTCAACAAAGCTGTCATCAGGAAAGCACCAAAGCCCGTTCCAGTTGTGCTGAGTCCCTGGGCAAGAGCCCTTCTCTTTTGAAAATATTCTCCCACCATGACTACAGCAGGCAGATACACCATCCCACTTCCAATACCTGAAACATGAAACATTTCAAACTCATCCAGGAAATCTCCATGATTGTGGTAATAGACAAAGACTAACTGACAGAAGATCTCAAAACAGGTGGGACCTGAGGCTGAGCTAAATATCTGAGGCTGAGCTAAATAGCTAAATAGATTTCCACAAACATGGGACAACATGTGGTTTTAGGTTTTGACCCTCCGGAAGTAGAAATGGGACATGAATTCTCCCAGTATCTTTTCAAACCTTTATGTGCTGTTCATATGAGCAGAAGTGAAGACTGGAAAATAATATTTCATCCTAAACTCATCATCAATGGTCACGTCCCAAAGCCATCTATCCTGGAGTAAATCTACAGTTCAACTTTTGAACATCAACTAAGTTATTAATTTGGGTTGCAACAGACCTGCAGAGTTGTTAGAAGGATCTCCCTTGATTTATTTTGAAAGAGAGGGTACACTTTTGTAATTTAGGCTTAATTTCATAATGAACAGGTACAATACACATCTATGGTACATTTCAGACAGACTTTAGGTCTGGGCACTGTTACTGTTATTGTTTTGCAAACGTTTTCCTCCTTCCTTCTAGTTCCAGGAGAGATCTAATCCAAGACCCTGGCTTTTCAGGATGCCAGAGGGCTCAATAGTCTCCCCACTTTTATTCAACATCTACCCAACACTGCTGGGCAAGGTCATCTACTGTACAGGGCCAAATACCATTAGTATGAAGATGATTACATCTTGATCCCAGGCTGAGCAAACAATGCTCTGGAAGCTGTTCCAGTGCCTGGAAGCTGTGAGGGTCTGGATGAGGAGGAACAACTTAGGCTCAATCCTAGCAAAACTACATGGCATTGGTTTCAAGGACCTGCCAGTCACAGTGATTTACCTTCTATAGTTCTTGACAGAATATCACTCCCCCAGATAGACCTGGTACCTAATTTGGAAGTCCTTTGGACTCTTGCCTCCTCCTCAGTGAATAGGCAGGAGCTGAAGCCCGGAAGGCCTTTGCACAGTTCCATATCACGTGCCAAATATATCCTTTCCTGAATCAGATGGCCCTTCTCACTATCACTCATGTCCTAGCAGCTCCTATTTGGACTATTGCAATGCACTCTATTCTTGGACTTCTCCAAAACTGCAACTGGCCAAAATGCAGTGGCATGAATAGTTATGCGCACTTCTTGTCTGCATTGGCTACTAGTGGGTTTTAAGGTACAATTCAAGGTGTTGGTTGTCACCTATAGAGCCCTTCATGGCTCATGTCCTGGTTACTTTCAGGACCATCTTTCTCCTCTTGTTTCTGTCCAGCTAGTAAGATCTGAAAGAGTTGGCACACACCGAGCCCTAGCTGTAAAGCATTGCAAGCATGTGGGACCAGTAGCTGCGCCTGCCTTATGGAACAGCATGTCACCTGAGATCATATGGCCCCAATGCTGTTGAGCTTCCATAAAGCCATAAAAATCTGGCTTTTTCATCAGGCCCTGTGGTAGAACAGAGTGATCTGCCCCTGGTTTGGAAGCATAAAAAGTAATATTGGAACAGCATCAGGAGTCAATCAGCTATACTCAAATTATTCTATTTTTGTCTGCCTTTAGATTGATGCACATACTCTGCTAAACATTAACAAAGGTTGTTGGTTTTGGCATTGTATGTTGGATGAACCTACGCTGCAGTTTATAACTCAAGATGATTGGCTTATTATGTTATGTAAAGATAGCCAACTGTGGTTTTCTGTTACAAACCACAGTTAAACAAGCCTGGCACTGACTTCCTTGCTATATTGAAGGTTAAATAAATAAATTTGTCATTTCACAACAGCCATGACAAACGATTGCACATTTTTTACCGTAGCCATCTTGAGTATCCTATAAGTTGACAAATGCACATAAATCGAATAAACTATTTATATTTATTTATTTATTAAACTTATACCCTGTCTCAGTCTAACAACTCTGTTTATAAGATCAGTTGCAACATTCTGAAAGTTTTAATGTTGTTTGTTTTGTTTATTAGCTGCCCTACGTTTTGTTGGTTGTTTTTTTTAGGCAAGAGAGAAAATACAAGCTTTTAGTATGTAATTTTGGAATCCAGACTGTTCATAAACAGAGTATGGAACCTGAAATACTTAGATTAACTGTAGCTTATTTGAAATACTGCATAATAACTAATGACATCTGTGTATGTAGCTTGCTTCAGTAAGTGTTGTCGTCATTCTCATGCATACTATGCTGCATATGCAACTTAACCCTAACCCTAACCCTAACTCAAGCTCATAAAGCGTGAAGAAATTTGACTTAAGCTACAGTCTTTGTGTTCACAAAGAAGATCAGCTGATTTGCTGCCCACAGACTTAGGCTTGTCCATGTTAGCATATTTACGTCCTTCAGAAAAAAGTTAAATTTCCTAATGTACATATATTCAAAAATTATTTATGCTTACCAGCTATAACTCCAAATGTAATAAAGAGGTAATGTACATTTGAAGCATAGGAACTTAATATCCATCCCAGGGCATTCAAGATTCCTCCAGTTATTGCTGTTTTCCGACATCCACAGGTGTTAATGAACAAACCAATAAACGGACCTGTGACAGAACATGGGAAATAGATTGCTTTCATGCTCTAATTATTTTCTGTATAAATATGAGACTTGGAAGCATTTGACTACAATTTGCCAGATCAGTATACATTGTACCATAAACATTAACTGGTAAAGGTCTATGCCAAAATATTTGTCCAATTATTTCTTATCAATATGAATTTTAGACAGTAGACCATAGCAAGAAGACTTACACAAAAGCATTGTGCCTCAAAAAGCTGTGGCTAGATGTTATTGTCTATGTTACAAAATTGTATAGCATCTGACTTGCTAAATATACGTTAAAGGCACTCCAAGGCTATGTTTGCACCATAGATCGGCTATCAGTAACAACTAGTAAGCATGTACTGCATTTTACTCCATATACATACATACATACACACACACACCAATTTAAGCCTGAGATCCATATTTAATGTGTTACTCATACACCAGATGGCCATCATCATTAAAAGAATCTGGATTTCTTAATCCAGATGCTGTAATTAGCATTTATTGAAGGTTATGGCATCTGAGTTAAAGAATTTCAAGATGGAGACTGTTACTATAGTTATAACCATTTGGAGTTTGACAAACAGGCAGAATACAAATACCGGAAAGTAAATATATAATGCATAAAATAGTTGTATGCACAGGGGAATGATAATGGCGCTGTATGCATGCTTCCTGACCAGTGGTGTCTGCAGGCTGTCACTGCTTTTGTCAGAATTATGAAAGCAGAGTTGCGGCATAAGCGCTGCCCCCTTTTGGCCATGTTTGCAATATGAGGCACAAAAAGTGAGCAGGACTTGTATCATGATACCACAATGCTGCATTTGTCAGTCTGACCCTCCACCCTTGCCTCCCCCACAGATGCACTGTTACCAACGGTAGTTCAGAGCTGAGCATGTCATGAAAACTCAGTCTTAGATTGGGTTTATCCATTGTATTAAGCCATGATTTGCTTAAATATGGCTAGCCTGAATAAATAATCTGCTGGATTTGTACTATATACTAACAATAAACTACAGTTTACAAACCATGATGACTGGATTTATCCTAAACCAAACAAATCAGATTATAGGTTAGTACAATGTGTTACAACAATGTCTGCCTGTCAAGAAGCCAGACCATCTATAAATTAGATACTGGAAGGAAATCACAGTATACCATCATCCCATGTTCCAGCCTACTGGAAGAGTTGGTCCATACAATCAGTGTAAAACTGGCCTGATGAGGTCTTTGGGACGAGTGGCTAAGGATGGATGCCTTCAACCTCCAAGCTGTCCTACTGTAACCACATCAACTATGGTCACAGTGCCTATCTTAGAATCTTAGAATCATAGGATTGGAAGGAACCTTGGAGGTCTTCTAGTTCAACCCCTCCTCCCAAGGCAGGAGTCCATATTTAGTATGTCCATATTTTATTGAGGTAAAACATCACTTTCAACAATAGGCAAAGAAGCTGAATGCTACAGCACAAAAATATGCAAGTCCTTTTGAAACAAATCCTTTAGGAACGAACAAACAAAAAACAATAGAAGATACTAGAAAGTCTATCTCACAACAAAATTCCAGTCATTCTGGAATTTATTTTTATGTTCTAATTTTATTTTATTTTTCCTTATATGAATGCACATTACTCTCCTTTTAAATTAGGTCTAGATGATATCTTTATTTTAAGTCACCAGTGGGACTGATTTGAGCTAACACTATTGTAATTCTTATATGCATGTATGTGTGTGTGTGTGTGTATAAAATTATGATATATATATAACCTCACCCCACTGTTTGAAGAAGTCCTCAAACAGCCTTAGGAAAAGAGAAGGTGCTTGCCAAAATTGCATTCCTTCTTTATGAACTACCTTTCTTGTTAATGATTAATACAGCAAAAATAATCATATCTCTTAGGTACAATCTGCAGAGCATTCATCTGTTTTCCTCAGAATTATTGTAATCCAGTACAGAATATAAAAATTCAGGGTGAAATCATTTTTCAGCACTTAATGCAAGACAGAATCATTTTTCAGTGCCAAACTTGAGTTTTTTGAAAATCATTCTAGAACAAGAAATGTTTACATAATTTTGGAATTATTTTATGAGATGAACTGCAAGTTTTTCAAGTTTGAATCAGTGATAGAGTAATTCATCATAAACCACATACAAAAAAACATTGCATTCTCTGTCCCAAATTATCTGAAAAGCTGCTAAACATTAATTCAGAAATCCTCAGCTGACCTGCTGAAAAGCACCTTAAGAATGTATGCTTTGATTCCTGGATTATGCTGCTATCAGCAAGTTAAAGTTTGCCCAAGGTTTCAAAATGTTCACATATATGAATACATGTGCTCATGTAAAACTCAAGTAGGGTTGAGCCTGGATCCAGATGAGGCCTGAATTCCAGGGTAGAGCAGAGTAATGCAGAATATATTGTCATTTACCTGAAATGGAACAGAGGCCCCTACTGAACCATCTCCAGACTCAACTTGCTGCCAGGCACTGGCTTCAAACTATTCTGAAACTTGTCATGCTACAAATGGCAGCACTGTGATAGCTGTGCCATGAAGAAAAAAATTCTGCCAGTTGTATAAATCACCATACTGAGAAGGGGAGAGGGGGCGATTCAGTGATTTATTTATTTCGAAGACTTATATAGCTGCCCATCTCATATATCATAACCCTCAGGTCTGTCCTGATCTGAGAACTGCAATCAGATCCATCGGTTGCCCCAAGCACAATATTTAGAGTGGGTGGCAAAATCATGGAGGTGGGGAGGCAAAATACTTGCAGGCCTACCAGAAAGATGGGCAGGGCAGGGCAGGGCAGGGCAGGGCAGGGCAGGATAGGGGTTCATTTCAACCAAACTATTCATGGGACTGCCTCTTTCTCATTGTCTCTGCTCAGCCCACCAGATCCAACAGAGAGAGCCTGCACTGGGATTCTTCTATTAAACAATGTCAATGTCTCAGTCCAGCAGAAGGGGCATGTTGCAGACCCCACCAGTCAAGGAACTTCAGCTGGTGGGGTCTAGGAAGAGGGCCTTTTCTGCTGTGGATGGGAGCCACAACTTATCACCTGAGATGCGGTCCGCCCCCACTCTCATGGCCTTCCAGAAGGGTGTGAAATCCTGACTCTGCCAGATGGCCTGGGGGCCTGATGGGGGCTCACACTGTTGGAATTGGCTGGTGGGATAATTGATTCTGCTCCCCGCCCCGTCATCTTGAATTGTATATAGTCTTTTTATATAGAATTTTTTTTAGCTAATTTAATATGGATATTTATATTTTTCCTGTTTTTCCTGTTTTTCCTGTTTTGGATTTTAATTGTGAGCTGCCCAGAGTTACCCTCTGGGG